CTTTTACGATCACGTCACCTGGTTTGACAACATTCCAATGTATTCTACCGAGTTTGGGGAGCTGGCCCATAAGGAACAGATTAAAGATGGATGGCGACGCTCAAATAAAAAGGATGCTGCATGGCAGATACTCCACAGCTACAGCCGACAACAATCGATCCGAATGCGGCTTCTGAACTTAGATTTCCTACGACGTCGTGGGGCCCATATCCTGGTTGACGTTGGTAAACTATTGGACCTGACGAGCAGACTATCCGTGCCAGAGACCCGCTGTAGGGTCCTGAGAGGATGTCGTGCTGATGTTTCTCATGCTTCAGATTTTTACAACGTCTTGGGTATCTCGATTGAGAACCTCTGTGGGGAATTCATTCAATATAGCCGTCAAGGCCTGACTCTTGACTGCTGGCTTCAGGAAGATCCTGCGGTACTCCAGTATCTTCCTGTCTAGCTCGTAACACAACTTGAAATTCTGGTTCTGGCGTTTCAGGAAACAGATATTTACGACATACACCGGGCGCGATCCACAGGAGACGAGCCATTCCAGAAACAGGGAAGCCGCAATGATTGGGTTTGGGTACAGACTGGTGGGGAGGAGATGTATGGTACACAAAGAGGACGCCTGCTGGGGAAACTTGTAGCGCTCTTCAAACTCCGAGACTGCACACAGGGCGATAGGGTTTACCGACTCGCATGTGTCCAACTGCTGAGTGTAGTTAACTCGGGACGCCCATCCGAGTTTCATGATCTCATCACTGTACAGCTGAAGCAGGGTGCCCGAAGATTTACCATAGTAGATATTGGCACCATTACCAGCTTGGCGCACTTGATCCAGGACACGGAACAGCGCTGGCTTGTTAATAGTCAGATCGATTTATTGACATTCAACGAAATATATTGAACGATTTAGCAAATCGCTCAGCCAGTATTCGATCCCACGGGAAGTATGATGCGGCACAGGGCCAAAACTGGTCTTTGCATCCTGTTCTCATATTATGGGGCGTAGGGGTCT